TTGGTGGAGATCTGTTTGTGGTGCCGATTTTCTGCGCGGGTACTCGCAGCGTCAGAAGATCGCGACGCTTATATCGGATGTAGGGTTGTGATGATGATGTTACACACCTCAAAGCCTATCACAGCGCTTCCCAAGAATCCTTACACTATGGTGTAAATATGATGGGTCTATTCACGAGAACTTTTTTTCTATCCTTCGCCATCCATATTTCCCGCTCTCTGGCGAATGGCGGTACGACTCAAACATCCTTACCAGAAATAATTTCTGCGGCAAACGATCTTAATACTAGTGTAAGATGATAATGCGAAGAGGACACTAGGCCATTCATACCTTTGAATTTCTTTCCTTTTTGTTATCCCTGAGAATTTTTTCCCTCCTCTACCCGCACATTGCCAAATACCCCACGGTGACATTGTATGGTTCTATAAAGTTTGGGCGAAAGTACTGGTAGCGCCTTCTTGAATCCCACATTGTGTGGACACGTCAGCCAGGAGAATGATTGCTTCCACAATGAACAGTTCAGTAAAGCTGATTCTCTCTATCCCACACCAAAATTTTCTCGGTCTCCCTCAGAATAGACAGACCCAGGGTTGGAGCACCATATTCATACCATGCTCTGCGCTGGTCTCGAGACGCGGGGCCAGAGTTTTTTTTGTCGATACCGTAATCATGAGGAAACCTGGGGAGTATGTAGGCCTGTGCTAAGTCACCTCCTATCGGCTAGTTTTCTAGTTAAATGGGAAGTACGGTATCCATGTAGATGGCTTGGTAAAGAGTCGGATATGGTGATGGTTATATGACATTCCGATTGTGGCCCTGTTGCAGGGTGGAGTGATCGAGTATCCAACACGATATTGGTGTTATTTGCTGACTAGAATGCCATCCCCTCAACCGTTGCTCGGACAAAAACGACTGCTAAGATCAACCAATTTTCCACAAGCACCAATTGTAGAAGCTCAACAGTTTATAATCCTCCAAAAAAAAGACGTGAATATTTACTCATGCACAGGACCTAATTGCTCAGCCTCGGAGTTCTTCCAATTTTACTGCGCTTTCTAGAGGTCGCCAAATATGCCAAGCAGGTCCCTTTTCCATGAGATTTAGGTCCGTGAGCTCCGTTTACAAAATTATGAAAAGATAATGAGGTGGAACTCTCACTGGCTCTCTGGACTATATATATCTCTTGATGGGTGTCAACGAGTAAGGCGTAAACCCAACATGTCACGGTAAAGAAATGTTACAGTTTACAGCACTGAAATAATAGGTGCTCTGTGTACTCGAGTACTTATCTCGGAAGGGGGCTCGGTCTACACGCTCTATGCAACTATGATATGATATACCATATTTTCCGAATTATTAGGGACTACACTAAGTTTAAAATTTATTTCGAGAGCTTTAGCCTAGTGCCACTGCCTACTTTAGGGGTCTTTCCCAGCAGTTTATCCAACTTTGTGTTGAAGTATGTAGCTACTCTTCCACCCAAAATATGGTTCGAATAATGCCAAGAGATATAGGTAAGAGGAGTATTTTCCATGGTGGGGAATATTCTATCATAGGAAACCTATAAAAAAATTTAATATAGAAATCTACAGTAGTGGCTCGGGGTCGCGACATACGAAATTTTAGGGTTTATTCTTGGGCCGTTGTGGATTTACAGGGATTCGGCTGATCAGGACACACGTGGCCGGCAGTGCGCCACGGTTGAGGGGATACGAACATTCTGATAGGCTTGAATTATATACCGCAAATACTGCAACAGCCATGGGCCATTGAATGGAGATCTTGGCTTTCCATTGGTGGTGCCCAAGAGAATACCTGTTTGCGGGAAAACAATATCGATCTTGGTTGTGTGGTTGCTGCTCGCCTGCCTTGCTCTCCCCATCTTCGAAGTGTGAGCCTAGGGCGTAATTAGTACCTAGCCAATCAAGACATTATCTCACGCTCTCTTTGCCTGAGTGCAGCTCAGTTTTCCCCAACTTCCAAGGTACAGTGCTTGTACCAGTAGACTACTCGCGCCGCCGAGTTGAAGCTGGACACTCTCACCTGACCAATACCGAACCCACTTGCCAACACGATTAATAATCACACGCCATGGAGAAAAAAAAGATAGTTTCACACAATTTATTTTAATACATGATCCGGCAAACCACTGCATGCCTATATAAACTGAAATCTAGCCACTGAAATTATAGATCTGATTATGAAGTATCACCGATTGAAGCTTATTTGATGAATCGCAGCCTAAGCTTTCGAAGTTCTCCAAGATTCACTGGTGTCTCTTTGGCTCCATATATCCTACAAGCCGTGTTCTACAATATACAGAATCACATTGCTCAGCTTGGTACTTTGGAGACATCGATTTGCTAGCAGGGATCACTGCTATCTGAGGGCGCTCGGCTTAAACGTGGCCGGGCGAGTACGGTGCACGAAATTTCGATGCGGCGATTTTTTGGAATGGGAGTTGCCCAGGTTCTTTGGCCCAGTGGTACAGGATGATAAATTACTGTTCAAACCAGAGTGAATTGTATTAGAGTGACGGTGCCTCAGTGCATAAACCAAGGTTACAAGTCAGAATCCGAAGCCTTGGCAACCATGCCAGGTGCAACGCCGGGGAAAAGCAAGAAATACGCAATGACACAAACTTCTTGCTGCGAAGGAGTTTTCTTCCCTCTCAAAATATTCGCCAAGAGTTCCAACTTCCAACTTCCAACTTTCCCTTTTTGGCGGGACGCTCATCAGACTATTCGTGGGGGACACCGGAACTTGTACAGTACCGAAAGTGATAGAGCGTCCCTAGCTCTTGGGCTTTGATGTTTCTCATCCGATTATATCCTATATTATGTTGCTTGAAGCTTGATACTGGTGATATAGTCTACTTCAGGTGAGCTGTCCGACCACCTCTGTTGTTGCAGCATTGCCGTGGGAATTGGGATGATGGAACCACGCAAGGCCGTTGGAGTTGTCTCTCCTAGTGACGTCTGTGATAATTTTTCTTTTCATCTGTCTCAGAGGAGGGCTGAAAATGTTTTTTTTTTTCCGGTGATTCCCTTCCCTATCCAAGGAGGGGAATTCTGGGAGTCTTAGCGTGAGGGTTCATTATTCCAACTTTTACGGGAGGGGATCGTAGGATTTCTGTACTGTGCCATCGAAGAAGAGAGAGTGTGATAGCAAGCACTGTACGAGTATGAGTACCAGTACTGCAAGGTAATGCACCTACCAATGGCTAAAAAAAAATCCAAGCTTTGAGGTTAAGATCTTGGCGATGCTTTACCGGGATCAAGAAATACATTTAAGTAAAACATCGCTTGCAACAATCGTGCAAATACCAATTTATACCTCACGGTACCCCACTCGTTTATTGTGCTACTATTGTCCGTTGAACCTGAACTTCCGGCGCAAGTAGCTAGCTCTTCAGTGCTTGTTGCTGGACCGTTAAAGTATGTCGAGTATAAAAAAGAAAGAACCAAAAGGGAATTTGATGCAGCATATTGCTCTCGAGGTGTCATATCAAACTATACAAGCACTCAGTGTGCCAGCTCTTTCAATTGTCAAACAGGTGGACACAGATAGTCTGCATGCAAGATGAGATGATGGCGCCGAATAGCAGCGGTTCTCGTGCTGTTCTTTCTTCCCTTTTATATTTTTTTTTTTCCCACTCTCCTTCTTTCCTTCCCTCTCTCTCCCTTCCCTCCTTCCCCCTTGCTCCCCGCGCGGACTCTTCTTTATTTTCTTTGATGCTTTCCCTCCCTACACCCAAGAACTTACAGTTTGCTATTTAATCTTTCTAGACGGCATCGGCCCCTAGTGAACTCTGCAGTCAATGGGTCATCTTCATCGTTGTTGGATGCTCGCCGTGCTACTGGTGCCCGGCTCCCTGTTTCCACCTTCAACCACCGGCGAATAAAACTGGCTGTAACTGCGGGAACCGAACAACACAACTGGTGGTGGCATTTCAAGCTCACACGACCTTTTATTTTCCGTGCTAGCAGACAACGATGGCGGACCAATATTGTCACAGTGGAAGGAGAGGGTCAGGAAAGATGCCCTCCGGGCCTGCTTATGGTGCTGGGAGCCCCGATGCCTCCGCTGGGCAAGAGGAGCACCGGGAGGCGTTTGCTGCGGAGGTTGGCCAAAGCTCTCATGGTGGCGGGTCTCCTGGTGGCTCATCCTCTGCTCTTTCGTACCTGAACCCAATCCCCAATAGTTACGCATCCCAGTCACCATTCGTGTTTTCCTCTAAAGGTAAGAACACCAGAAAAAGTTGAAATCACGTCAAATGCCGGCCAAAATAATAACATCATGGCCACCGAGACCATCACAAACAAATGCCCCCAACTCCCGCCTTTTCACGAGAGCAACCTCGTTAATCAATTTCTAGGTTCCTTACCCCCACTTTCATCTGCTGAGATGGAGTCACGGTAAATCCCAAGTCCCCTCTTTTATCTCCCACTGCCGGTACTCTCGCTTTTTTTGTTGGAATTCGATGAATTTCTCCGTTTTATATTTTATTTTGGTTGTTTGATCAGGAATTTCATGTTGGGCTGCACGCAGCAAGGACAATCGAAAACAGGGATCCAGTCTAGCTATAAAATCCCCGAGTCACCATACCTCCTCCTTTCCCACTGCGCAAACACTTGCTGTTTTCATTTGCTCTCCATTTTTTCCGCTTCCCCTGCTATTGCTGTACTGTATCGTTATCTATGCTCATGGCGGGATTATTTGCTGCGCTGGTGCTCCACCCCCTGCTTGGTGATCTCAGTTTTTGCACATCCAAAATTTCTCGCTTTCTCGCTCGTTGCTTAGAGGCGAGTTGTTTCCTTTGCAAGAAGAGCGGAAAGGAAGGAAGGCGAAATAATAAAACCGTATCCGCTGCCGGTTTGGGTGTGGCTTTGTTGACACAAGCGGATTTCTGTTAGGACCCCTCTGTCACCCGGCCCCCTCAAGCATTACTATCCTCCGACTGGTGCCCGGGACCGGCACTTCTCGCTTGAACAGAACAACTCCACGTAAGGATCTCACCTCCCCGGCCCTCTCCACTTTAGAATGAAATATCGCGACTATTATCGTGATCTTTACCGTTCCCCTCCTCTCCTACCCTGAACACCATTTATCCCTATCCCGCTGTCTTTTGGATCGCAGAAGCACTTTTTGACCATTTGCTACCGGTCTAGTGCAATTCCTCGAGAAACGCGTGGACAACCATCCGACCCTGAGTGGGCAGGGGGAGTTCTTGACAATAGAAACCAATTTTGCTCATATAGCGCTGGAAGTCCTCACTATTTCTCGGCGATCGCTTCGTTCGCGGTAAATGGGAGTGCATGGGATCGTTCTTCCTTCATTGAGGACAGCGAACTCAACCGGCAGCACCACCAACACCAAAACCAGCAACAGTATCCTGATACTTCTATGGGTGAGTCTAGCCAGCTGAGTAGGGCTTATGGCTTGCCGAATATCCACGGATCCCCATCGGCGGCACCGCAACAGCAGTCGTTCGGAACTTATGATGAATCGAGAATACAGGCTGTCTGTTTGCCATTTTTTAACTTCTTCACTCCCTTCACATCTTTCCAAATAACCTTTTGTTGACTTTTTTGTCTGTTCTCGTTCTCAAGCCTATCGCCCCAATTTCAACCGGTATGGGGGAAAGTGCTGCAAGAAATGCGGGCCGATCAATGAAGCCTTTAGTGACGCCATTCTACATTGCATCGTCCCATACAGAGACATTGGGATCGCCGGTTTCTGTTTCTGGCTCGGATCACTCACCCTATGCCTCACAAATTAGGCCAACCCCTCGCGATGGATTTACTCCGAGCCAAGACGTGGGAAAACCAAACAGTTCAGTCCAGGAACAAGTAGAAATGGAGCCGTTTAGTAACTTTCCACCGGCTATCTCGCCCTTCGCCCCCTGCGGTTCGACACAACCCATTCGAGAAGACGATCGCCAGATGTGGCCCACCCATGGAACGCATGGCATCCGGTGGGCAAAGAGTGAGCATGCCTCCCCAATTGAAGACTCAGAAATTCCAGGTCCCAAGCTCAGGAGATCTTCCCTAAAGACTTGTGAACTTGGAGAAACAGGTCTTGGTTTTCCAGGCTGTTTCGTGCTTGTTCCCACTGCCGATAGTCCTCCGGATTCAGAATCTCAATCAGGAGACGGACCAGAACCTAGTTTAGTGTCAGCTAAGAAGAGTGTTCGGAGGCCGATGGAGGAAGCGGAGCGGGCAGCGATAAAACTAAATAGGAAGTTGGGGGTTTGTCTCCGCTGCAAAATATTCAAAGAAAGGGTACTCTATCGATCTCTTAAACTCTCCCTATAGTCGAATTTTTGCTCACTATCCATCATTCTGCTACAGTGCCGAGGAGGGTTTCCCTGTGATCGCTGCCGGTCCCTGAGGCATTGGAAAAATATCTGTGTTTCGGCACACTTTGCTCACAGATCGATATTCTCCCGGGGTATGGTTGAAATACTTTTGATTTCCACCCTCTAACCTCCCATGGGCCACCTCAAGTATGCTAACACTCTAGTTAGGACTCTGGAAAGCTCGTCTAGTCCCTTCGCTGCGCAATGTTGCTGAATGGGTTCCATTAGACTCCAATTCCATAGAGTACATTCATGTCAGCAACGGGTATGCACCATCAATTGCTGTAGCGGTCCAGCAGTTCAAGCCGGTCGACTCCACACTTTTGGATCATGTGCTTTGGAGGGAGCTTCGGAAAACTGATTTCGCCCGGATTCCTTCTTCGGCAATTGCGGTGTCCTCAGAAATCCCTTTTGATAAGTTAGATGTGTATTTTGGAGATCACATACTTCCTCTCGTAAATGAAATCCAGATGTTGGCCGGTTCGCAAGCGCATGAACAGACGTTTGCGCAAACGCTGCGGGCTGCCTGTGACTATTCTTCAGCCAACCCAGAAAATGTAAGGGGCTTTAAGACTCACTATAGTAACAGCAATGTTCTAATACAGCCCTAATAGGGCTATCTTGTTAGGAAAGCATTGCGACTCTGGGCTGCGCAAATAATTTACTTCAAGGGTGTGTGGAGAATTAGCGGACAAAACAAAGTGGGGATGTTCCCAATCCAAGATCCCAAGTCGAAGCTTTATGGCATTACTCCGTTACCTAGGCTTGCCAACCAACAATTAGATGCTAGGGTGGAAGAGTGGATGGCTCAAAGGGAACAAGGACTCCTCACAGAGCTCCAGACCAAGATTTTCAAGCGCAATTCCACAGATTGGTTTACAATATACCTCACCCTGTTTGTCACCCTCAGCACGCTTGAGATGGATACGTGGAGCCTAAAGACATGGGCTACGGATTCGAAAGACTTATTGGATAGAATTGAAGCAATGGTAAGAGAATATCTGCCCTGAATGTCTTGGCAGAGGGCCCCAGAGATTTTCGTCGTGGTGGTCGAAATGTTAATACGCCGATGCGACTAATCTATAGGATTTGCGCCATCCAAACGAGTCTCGTAGAGCTTGGTTATGGCCACTTGCAGACAATCCCGAAACCCTAGTGGATCGGAATACCTTTCTTACGGAGACCCTTGTCGCCCACTTCAGGTCTGTGACTAAGGGGTTTGTCCCGTTTACGTTGGATTGGTACAGCGATCAGGCTGTTGTCATGGCAGGTGGAGAGCAATATGCGCTAGAATACATGAGGACTATCGGTCAGCAGGTGAAGGCGTCTGGTAAGAAATTCCCCGCCACCTCTTTCCCCGAACCACTCTAACTGCCTTCTCAGACCGACAGTTGCGAGAGAGGATAGTAGCAGAGTATAGCAGGGAAGACATCAACAGTCTTAAATTATCGTACTCTGCAAAATTAATGGTGGGCGAGGACTCGTGATCTACCCATACCCGTTCCTACAATTTTCGTCGATCAGATTATCTTTCCACCATTAGTCACTTATTTGTTTTATTTTATTATGAAGGGAGGTCTTGTTTGGTTTGGGCATATTTCTTTACTCGGAAAATATCGGACAAATGGAGTCTTTACGTTTTCACTGGGAATAGCACGCTTATTCGTTCTGAGTGATGAGAAAGGGTGCTAGTTCTGCATATTTAGAGCGAGATTATGAATCCGCAAGAAGGTTGCACACGCTCTTCTGCACTGCCTTCAACCAAAATCCTCTGGCAATTTGTTGTGAAAGCCTAACAACTCCGTCTTCATACGAGCACTAGAGCAAATTATTCCGCCCATTGTATAGAACCCATCCATACAACCTCAAGCTCGAACCCCCCACCCAACTCCCATGTCCCTAAAAATCCTGTCTCCCGTCATATATCTCCCCCCGTCCCTCTCTTCCTTTCCCACTAAACCGCACCCGGTAATCCTCAACCCAAACCCCACGAAACTCAATCAGCCAATCAATCAATCAAGAACTCCCATAGTGCCGGGTTCCGTGGGCGGGTGCCCCACATAGTGTGGTGGAAATACCGGTTTATCCATCCCCAGTTTGGCAGCCGGGGCGATGGGATACAGATAGAATGGCACTATTGGGGATAATCACGGTACAACCACTCATGGGAAGTGACATACATGGGAAAATATGCTGTGAGGCAAATCACGGGACCCCCCCCGTGAGAGGGTAAACGAAGTGGTAACCGGGTACGATGCATGAAAGTAGTGTAAGCTTCTTGAGGTCTCGCGGGGTTGGCCACTTTTATAACTTGTCTGGGACCGTGTTCGATGACAGCCGGCTCCTGGGGATGTGGAGGTCATGCGGCAGGCTTTTTTCTATATTTTCAGCCAAGTCGTTGACATCTGTGGGTTCCTTTTTCGCTCCCTCTTTTGCCCTCTCTTTCGTTCTGTCTCCCGCTCCGTCCGGATTGGTGATACCCCGTTTCCGGCTAATTAAGGATTGGACGGGAGGGAGAAAGGGGTTGATCATATGGGTTCTAGATTCTCGGACCGCGCTTTGATAAGTAGTATGGAACCGTGAAAGCTAGCGTAGGCACCTCGAGATATCGGGGGGGTTAGAAACTATTCGCTCCTTTTACGGCTGGTCTGGGGGCTTTGGGGGCTTCAGCTCTTTAAGCCCAACTCCCATGACAATGTGTCGTAGAAGGAAGCCTTCTTTCGCATTTCCGACCCAATCGGAAACATTTGCCAATTCTAAATTTGCCCTCCATTTGCTTTCTTTCTTCCCCTCGGTCAGGCTTCTGAGGGGCGCCTCGTTGTCGGGTGTAGGAGATAGGAAGGAGGGAGAGAGATCCAATTAGAGAGGATAGGATAATCAGATATCTCTTTTTGGTAAGTTGGTCGAATAGTAATACTGATACTAGTACTTGTCCCGGTAATGCTAATGCACAAATGGGTGAGCCAAGTCGCGCGCCTAGATATAGAAATTTAGTATTAGGCCAATCACGTAAAGGAATATTTGGCTCTTCGGTCGACTGGCAGATTACCAAGGCTGCTACAGCGTGGGAGTTCGACTTGGCAGCACTAGTGCTCGTACTCCACATAATTGGATAGCCTCCACAGTGCTCAGCGTTGCTAAAAGCCTCGATATCTGTTGCATGTACAGTACAGTACACGTCGTACAGCCCGGCTGGTCTTAAACGGGAGGATCCAAGGAAATGGCAAACCCAAACTATAATTAGGGGATTGCGACAATGGGTTTTGGGGGAATAGGACCTACTGGTACATGATGTAAGTTAGCTCTTTGTCGAGAGTATATGGGCGCCTTCATGTACAATCATATATCAAGTCAGAGAAATTAGCCATGTAAAATGCAAAATTGGGGGAGAAAGATGTACGAACTGTACTAACGCAACCGCACCCCGCTACCCCCGGCCTCCAAAACCCCCAAAATACCGCCCGGCACAACTGGTGATCTAGGATACAATACCGTGCTTTTGTGCACAGAAATTCAGGACTCGCATTCAATACCGGTAGGGCCTTACCGACAGCTATCCAGAGAGCCCCGCCGATCCGGCATAGACCCTGAAGGGATTGAGCCCAATAGGTATCATAAGTAAGCCGACTCCAGGCCTGCCTATCCCGCAGCAAATTTGGAAGACCGTCTGCACACCCCACCGCTCACGGGATGTACGGGAGCCGACGAGGCGCCAGATTACCGAGACCCAGGATAGCGGGGTGCAACCGCACTGCGGGTGCTCGCGGTACAGTACCAACAAAATTAGCCTGGCAGCCTGGGAGAGGTGTGGGTTAAAACTTCGAGCTTCGCTGCTTCGAGCTTGGGTTCATCCCGTACCGGTATGTGAAACTCGGCACCGGTTCGGCGTTTCGCGCGGGACCCCGCCTTTGGGCGCTGTGTCACTGAGGATGCCGGGTCCGGGGGGAGCGCACGGGAGCTTGTTTATCTTGTTTATTTTTGTTCTGCTTTCTCTCCGGTGTCTTTTTGGACTGAGCGCTACGCAAGTGTAGTGTTTGTAAAGTACAGTATGCCGTGGACAGATATTATTTGGGTTTACGGAGTTCTAGCAAGTATATATTCTTAAGCGATTGATGTAACTTTACTTGATCTGATTGTGCAAGGCACAGGCTATATGCTTTGGTACACCTAATGCCAAGTGTTTGGGCGGGAGTGGTGGGCGAATGAAAAAAATACCGAACGGAAACACAGCACTACTATTCTCTACATAGTAGCTATTGTGACCATAGAGGTGTTTCTTTTTTACAGTCCCTCGTCAGAAGTGTTCGTGAAATGCTTACTAAGCAACCTCGCTGAAAAATGCGGACCCAAAAAATTTATTGCAATGACCAGTCACCACCACTGTAACTATATAAATAATTAGACTGTAAATTTATGCTATATCATTAGACTTTCCTTTTATATTGTCTAGTATTTTTATAATTTTTTTCTGTTTCTTTCCCAATTTCCAGTGGTCACACCTTACTGTTTCATACAAACTTCAACAAACCTGAAATTTCTTCCTCCTAGAATATGACATGTTGTCTTAAATTCCTTGCTGTGTCAGAGTAATTCCTCAGATTTTGGCTGGCTAGGATAGTGAGGTGCAACTTTATATGGATTAAAAAGTTTTATCCAATATATACTTTTTATATAAAAAATATTCATCTTTACTATTATCTTTTATAGCATATTCTTTTAAGAGTTGGCCAGAATTTCAGAGTAGACTAATGTTCTAAATAACAATATGATAAACTAAATATTACACTAGAAGTTGTAGAAGTATCATCTTATCATAGATATTGGTAATACAATGTATTTTTTTTAATATCAGGCATCGAATTGTTAGGCGGAGACAACTTGATAGACTTCAAGATTGTCTAGGCCAATTGAGATTCGTTTTTGTAGACAGAGATTGTCTAGGAAGGCTCGGACTTGGCTCGTTTCATCTATGACTACTAGGAGCGAAGTAAAGTAGGTAAAGTAGGGTAGAATTGTAAAAACAATATTATATTGTTAAGGTCTCTTCTCCGTTGCTTGATGATGTCTAAAGCTTGGGAGGCACTTCAATATTTATATTCCGCGTCTGAGTGTTCGCGGACTACATCTATTTATCATACCACTATGTACCTCTTTAATCGTAATTCACAACGTCGAGTTTTCTTCCAAGGTGCGAACAACTGTGGACCCTGAAAACCATCACACCCTCTTCAGTAATTATGATATTTCTTCTTAGGAACCGTACTGTCTCCAATAGTAATATCCCGATTAGCAGAGTCTTTGGACTTATGGCCTAGTTCTTAAGTTGAACTGAGTTGGCTCCAATTGTCTTTACCATTGATAGAATGATCAGTTTTATCTACGGCTATATCTGCAAAGGTGGTTGTCATTACAACTATTGTAGGTCATCTGACTCTGATCCTTTGTAACTCTATACCCAACTGATAGATTTTCTCTGGATGACTTCCGATCAACTCGCAGGAAGCTATTCCACCAGATTGGTAATTAATCCCTCGGTTGGCAACCCTTGGTTGCTCTCTGGGTAATAGGTTTCAGTAACTATTGTAGTATTGAGGATCACCCCATGATTACGACGTGTTCCGAAACCCAGTTGCAATACTCCGTGAAGTTCGTTGGCTTCTTTGGTAGTGTATTTTGGAGTGCTAGACTCTTCTAGTGGATGTAAATGTATTGGTCTCTAGTAGAGATCCTTTACCATTTGATACCATGTCTTTGAGCAAAATCGTCCCATTACTTACAACCTGTGCCAAAGTTATCATGTCTTTGGAGCCAAGTAACTCTCTGAGTAGTTGACGGAATCACTCTATTCCACTTCCCAGACCTAGCCGAAGTTTTCCTCACATATATCCTGCGTACAGGATCCGGTCGGATGGACGGCAGTGACGTATATGGTGTTATTCAAACACCTTCAATTCTGTGGTAATATAGTCACAGGACGCAACTGAGATTGATATATATGATGACGCGCGGGCCCCGTAAGGTAGCCGGAGGGGGGTGTTGGAGACCAGAGATTCCGATTCCAAGTGGGGTTGCCCTACTTAGGGTGGTTCCTAGGTATCGGGTTCTGGTATTCCTAACAGAATACAAAGATTGAGACTACTTTGACAATAACTAATACAACTATAAATATTTTCTAATAATACAACTTTAACATCTTGTATTTCAACTTATAGCAGGTTAACTATATGGAATATTTGGGAAATGTTTATGTAAGGGTGTTAATTTTTCACTATACTTAATATAAAACTGGATATTAGATAAAATATTTGATCAACTACCATAAATTATAACAAAAACAGAAAAAAAGTTAAATAATACTAGACCTTACAGAGGAAAGTCTAATGATATAGCATAAATTTAAAGTCTAATTATTTATATAATTACAGTAGTGGTAACTGGTTGTTGTAATAAATTTTTTAAGTCACAATTGTTAGCGAGGTTGCTTAGTAAGCATTTCATGAAAACTTCTGACAAGAGACTGTACTTGATAGAGAATAAAAAAAGAAAAAAGCCTATCTGGCAGAAATACAGAGGAATGAATTCTTACCCAGCAAAATTATAACTAGCGTATAGTTGGACTGAAATAGGACACTACTTCTCTGTGAGTAGAGGTAGGAGGGCTTGTAAAGATAG